CATCCATCTGTTAATGTTACAAACAACATAGAACATCCATCTGTTAATGTTACAAACAACATAGAACATCCATCTGTTAATGTTACAAACAACATAGAATATCCATCTGTTAATGTTACAAACATCATAGAACATCCATCTGTTAATGTTACAAACATCATAGAACATCCATCTCTTCATGTTACAAACAATATAGAACATCCATCTGTTAATGTTACAAACAACATAGAACATCCATCTGTTAATGTTACAAACAACATAGAACATCCATCTGTTAATGTTACAAACAACATAGAACATCCATCTGTTAATGTTACAAACAACATAGAACATCCATCTGTTAATGTTACAAACAACATAGAACATCCATCTGTTAATGTTACAAACAACATAGAACATCCATCTCTTCATGTTACAAACAACATAGAACATCCATCCGTTAATGTTACAAACAACATAGAACAACCATCTGTTCTCTAATGAATGTGGAAAAGGATGTCCAAGATGAGTAAGTTCAACATCTCACTCTCCAAACACTTCCTACATCTTTGTCTTTATCCTCTACACATACACTTCCTACATTTCCAGAGGATAAAGACAACACATACACTTCCTACATTTCTGTCTTTATCCTCTACACACACTTCCTACATTCCTGTCTTTATCCTCTACACATACACTTCCTACATTCCTGTCTTTATCCTCTACACATACACTTCCTACCTTTCTGTCTTTATCCTCTACACATACACTTCCTACATTTCTGTCTTTATCCTCTACGCACACACTTCCTACATTTCAGAGGATAAAGACAACACACACACACACTTCCTACATTTCTGTCTTTATCCTCTACACACACTTCCTACATTTCTGTCTATTCATTTTTCACCATTTGAGAGTTTGGTCTCTGATAAACTATTTTCTAGGTGGTCACTCTTTTTGTCTTTTTATTGTCCTGTGTCTTATGCAACTGCTATCATCCAAAATGTGTTTTCCCTTACATAAAATTTATGATCTATTTTTATTCTGCATCTCCTTTTAGGAGTGACTGTATTATAAAACATGACTTGAATATTTCTGTTCTTTGTACGTTTTCTTCCAATATCATCTACTTTCCACACTGACCTTTCCCTCTGTTCATTTGTTGTCTCCAGCATGTGGTTTCATAAGCTCTACATGCTGTCTTAAATGTTTTCTCTTCCTGTTTTCATTCTGTCTTGTTCTCATTTTGGCTCTATTAATTCATCTTCTAGCTTTAATATATTATGTTTTTAATATCTACTTAAAGAAAATGTAGATGCATGAACAGATATATCAGGTGATTGGTTATATTGTGATAATTATTTTTTTACAGTTTAAAATAAAATAAACCAAAGCAGCAGTCTGGAACCATATGGCATGGAGGTGACCAAGAGTATTTAAGAATTTCTCAAGTCTGTTTGTTGCTAAGATCGTATTAAAATCGGGTTATGGTAAGGCCACAAAAGTGAAAACTATCCAGACTGTTTTTATTTTATCTTTGTTCACAGGTCATACTTGATCAGTTAAAGTTGTTCGTCTTCAACAATATTAGTCGTTTTTTTTACCTAGTTTTTATATATAGGTTTATTTCTTTTCCATAGATTATTGTTACATATTTAAAATGTTATTGTTAAATGTTCTTTTCGTCAAAAAAAAGTATTTCAATACAGTTTGAAACTCCTGTTTGTGAAATTCCAAAAACTTTTGTTTTCACTGATTGCTAGCTTGACAGGAAAGGTTGTAGTTTACAATCTATTACCCCACACCTTGCCAGTCTTGTTGTGATAAAAATTATTTAATAATGTTATTAAATAGAAAGATACTGAATAATACTTCTTCTCAGGGAATTTCTCTTCTGTTTCAGAAAGTTTTATAATTTCTGAGGAATTGTGTAATCTTACTTGTTGTTTTTTACCTGTTAAATACATGAGACCTGGTTTATTGTAGGAACATTTAAGAAAAGATGAAATTACCTATAATTATTTTTCTTTTTTGATAAATTTAAAAAGATTTGAAGTTACCTGAAAAAAATTCATTTGTTTCATTGACTTCTATGAAAGATTATATTTTTTTATTAATTAGTGTTTTATTATAATATAAAGTGCATGGTTTGTAAGATAAATGAATTTCTTGCAAAAAGTTGTTGTAAAAGGTAAGAATAATTCAACATAGATTATATTTTAGTGGAGTTATAAATTCATAATCACAAGGCACATTTCAAACTACTTAATTACACTCTTTTTGTAAAAGTTTTCTTACGAAAGGTTTATATGGCTATTGTAAAAATTAACAAATGCCTATTTTTGATACCCACTTGTCTAAAAATCAAGAATAGCTTATTCAGTAAAGAGAATTTCAGATTTAGATGTTTAATGAAAACTTGATGGTTTCTTTAAAAACACAAGACTCTTGTGTTTATTGTTTCAGGTGTAAATGTAACTATTAAAAAAAATTTCAATGGGAACAAGAGAACTTAGCAAGTGAATCCAATGAAAATGTGGTGGTGTTTGTACTAGTTCACAGCCATGAGAGGGTTTTTATCGTTTGGTTTACACCTGTGGTAAAACGAGTAATATATGTTTTGTATCTCTCATATAGTGATTAAAAGCACTAAATGTAATAAATATCTTGTTAATATAATTTTTATCAAATCTTATCTGAAAGTTTTAAAATTCTGAAATAATTATTGAATCAAAAGTACCAAAGATCAAAATGACTATAACTACTGCCTACCACCTTCAATACGTTCTTGTAAACAATAAAAGTAGTGTGTACCATTTCCACCTCA